CTTTTCTGGTTTACTTCATGGGCAGGCATTAGATTTTGTTTTTAATCTTTTGGAAGTGAGGAAGAGTGAGTTACTAGCAATTTTAAAAGTACTTTTATGTTTCCTGTTGACAAATATATGCCATGCATTTTGTAAAGCTACTCTCCAAGATGGCAATTCAAGAAAAACCTTTCGGCTCCATGACGACAGGTATTAAGTCTGTCTGTATTCTTAAGAACAGTGAAGTGGCATCAGCTTTACCAGAAAAATAATGACTGTTCAGGTAATGCCTCTGTCCGGCTTGGCTTTGTGCAATACATACATCAGTGGCCTGCAGGTGTCCTTACTTAAGAAAATTAAGATGTTTGTTTCCTTTTGAGGTAGTCTTTGTCTTTTCCTTTTTAACCTCTACCTGCAATACTTAATAGGAAATGTTCAAGCATTTGACTGTGTCCATTAAAAACAACAATGTGGTGGTTTACAGTAAGGATTTCAAAAGTAAGTCATTCCTTCTAACCTTTTTTGTGTAGGTTTCTAAAGTTGTGTTGTTGGAAGCACAGCTAAAGCTATTCTGTAAATGTCAGTAGAAGAGCAAGAACTAAATGAATGCATACTGTTTGTCCAGTTCATCTTGACTGTCTGCCAGAATGAAAGATATTTATAAAAAGATTCAAAAGAGAAAAATATAAATGACTACAAGTGTAAAAAATCTAAAACATGGATCTGGTGACAGTGTATTATACTGAAATAGAGAGTGGCCTCAACAATGAACCGAACATGAACTTGTAGTGTTATATAAAGGATTAGTTAGTTGGTCTTTCTGTGGGCAGAGGAGTAGGGGAAATTAGAGGGTGTTAAAGAATAGCAGCAGAAATGATATAGTGGCTTGAAGGAGAATTGAGATTAAATGTCAAGAAAACAGTTTCTGTATATATTATCCTAAGCTATTATACCAAACACGGAGGTTATGCAAGAAAACCTGGGAGGACGCTTTCAGTCAAGGGAAGATCAAGTTACTTTATCATGGAGCCCATGTGATTTCCTGTGTGTTACCACTTGCAGCTTTAGAACCCTTTGGCCAATTCATCTCATTAGACAGAGGGAGAATAAAAAATGTTTTTATGAAAATACACTGCTGAGAGGGACTAAAGATTGATTCAAGTGTCCTGAGATTCAGGTTTCAGTATGAATGCCTCTTTATTGGCATCTACCAGAGAGGCAGGTCTTGCGTAGCCTACTCGGAAAAAACTTTGCTTAGAGAACACATCTTCAAGTATCAAGTCCAACAGAGCAGGGGAGAAAAATGTTCTGGTTCTCATAGAAGCATATTCCATTGCTGATCCCTGGGACTGTCTGAAACAGTGCTAGTTTTCTTTTTTAGTCACTACGATGAACATTTTACCAGGCAAATGTAAATGTCAGCTAATGTAAATAAGCATCCCTAAATGTGGGAGTCCAAGTACAGTTTGAAGATAGGTTTGAGGACTGGAATTTGCATTGCTGAGGCAGGAGGATAGTTCTGTATCCCACTATCACATGTTTTTTCAGTTAAAGCTTTTGCAAAACATCTAGCTGGGTTTGTTCTGGGCTGTTTCCTCTTGGGCTGTGTTTTTTGTTTGGCTGGTTTTGCATACACAGCAAGGAAAAGTAAATGTCTTACTTGGAAAAAACCACACTTAATCTTAGCATTTCCAAACCAAAGTGGTGTAATCATGGTTTTGGAATGGAAACAAATTAAAAAAGCAGAGCACCTAATGCAGAGAATAGGCAGAACTGTGGGTGCCGTCCCCCACAGTGGAGATTTGAGGAGCAATGAGAACAGCATCCTTTGCTGTCAGCTTGGACGAGTCACATGCACTTCTCATACCGCTATTTCCCATCTCTAACCCTTCTCCTACGCTTCCTGGGGTCTGAAGAACATGCACATTTTATAAATGAAGTGAGGTATCATAAGTTTCCTGATGAATGGAGTGCAAACTTAACATAGCGACAGCCCATATGTACTGTATGCCAGACTTTTATTTTTTTATTATACATGTGTGTATGTATGTATCCCAGCATTTTACAGCTGGTCAGATGTCACAGAAAAAGGTATTATCTAGACTAAGAGTTGCTGAATCATACAATAACTTAAGTCTAAATAACTTTTAAAATAGTCCAGTTGGTCTCAGTAGCAATTCCTAAATCCCATTAGAACAGAACCACAGAACAGCTTTCTTGGAAAACAGATACTTGGATGGTCTGAATATTATCAGCTGGTTGGCTGTCGTGTGCTATAAATATACTTGTGAAGATCTGCTTTTTTCTGTTGAGTGTTCCTATTGTTAAAAGATTAAAACCCCCACAGTAATTCTAACATGACAGTGCTATTAAGGACTTCATCTACATTCAGAAACCTACAGTCTCTGAAACAACATAAACGTTAGGGCATAATTTCTTTTTTGGACTTAACAGCTGTTGAAGAGACAGGATTAGACAAAGCGTGCTCAGCTTGCCCTGTAGCTGGTTTGCAAAGTTGATTTGAAGCATTAAACTGACAAATTATTAAACGTGTTGGGTAAACCTTAGGTAAAAAGGTTGCAAAGCCAGGTAGGGTGTATTCAAAACAAGGGCCCAGTGTGTGCCCTTCCATGCTCATGTAGAAGTGTCACTTGATTTTATTGATGGAGTGTATGTTGTCTCCATTTGAAAGTGATTTGTTTCATCACTGGAAACGTGGCGTCTGGACACGTCACCTACTGGGTGATGGGGTTAAGGTGTTGATTTTTTAATAGCATAAGGTCTCTTGTTCATTTGACAGTGGCATCCAGATCATTATGCATTATGATCATTATGCAGATCATTATCCATCTATATACTGCGTATTTCACATTTTTGTGCATATGTTGCTTGTAAGTTGCCTGTGCTGCCAATTTCCTGTACAGTTTGCATGGGTGTTTCACAATAGAAAGCTATTGTAAATAATATATATATATTTTAATAAGGAAATCAATATGAAAGTTTAAAAATCAATAGATTTAGAACTAGGAGCCATGAAATTCACCTTTGAAATAATTTTGATAATAACTAGTACGTGTCCCTTTGGCCTGATTATCTTTAACTGCACTGAAGGTTTTAAAGCACGAACAAGGCCTTGTGAATAAATTAGAGAACTATTTCCTTTAAATACAGTTTCACCATTGTCAATTATTTTCTGCTTTCTTCATCTTTTTTTTTTTGTAAGAAATATTTGCATGAGTATAAGATGTTTCACAAAGGTTTATCTACCCTGCTGTTTCATCCCTGCCTCAGTCATACTGCTCTCTGCACGACATCACACTTATTTCCACAGTGACCTACTGCTACAAGGCATTCCTGCTGGAGCAATGGGACTGTTTTGTAAATGAGATGCTATGCTTTCCATCACAGACTTTGAATAATTCACTAATATTAAAGTGCGTGATAAAGCTTCCTCAGAGTTAACCCTGAGCTAATCAGAGAGTGGTTTTGGTCAGTGGTGGTATACCTGGACAGTTTCACTAAAAGCTACAGCACTCAACAAATGTGTGCCATCACCTACACGGAAATGTGTTTTTAATAGTAGCACTTCACGAATTATTGATATAACTTCCTAATATATATTTACTGTAATTTTCTATGCTCAGGAATTTAGCTGCCTATGATGGTGTTTCCTAGCAAGAGCAAATGTTAGTTTCTCTTTTTTTGCTTCTCATAAAAACAGTTGCAGCTGGGTACTCACAGAAGTAAAGTTAGTTATTTTCAGTGCTATTTCAAACCTGCTTTTCATTTTCTTTATGCAAGTGCATGCAGGCTGCCCCAGTGCCAGCGAGCAGGGTCCGGGCTGCCTGGCTTTCCTGTTGTGTGTGCCTGGGACAGGGAGTTCTGCAGCTGGCACCAAGGGATGAGCTGCAGCCCAGCCTGGCACTCCCCATCTCTGGTGCTTCCATCCAACGCCTCCCGCCACCAGAATTGGTGGCAGAGGAGCTGAGTAATTCAGTACAGTCCCAGTCGGTGGAAGGGACTGCAGGTCCAAGTCAGAGCGGGATATAGAGATAGAAAGAAGGATGTCAAGTACACGGAGGAGCAAAATAGTGAATTTCATGGCAAAAGTGTTGAATTGATGGCAGCAAGAAAATAGAATAATGTGTGAGCTTACATTTATTGAGATTCTAGTGCATTTCAGTTGAATGAAATCATCCACAGCACTGTTTCAGGCTCTCTGCAGTCCTATTGTAGCATCTATGCATTCATTTAAGCTCACTCCCATTTCTTGTCTTTTCCTCTCTAAAGGCTAGAAACCATCTTTTTCCTTCTAAAATGCCGAAGATAATATGTCCCAAGCTATAGTCAATCTCCTTTTACATTGCTTTAGCTAACATCTTTTTAAGCAGAACCATTTGAGGTGCTACCACTTTTCTTTATCTTTCATCGCTCATTTGGCAAAATCAGGCGAAATACTATTTCTTATGCCAATAGCTGAAAATCTGTATTGGGCAAACACTGCAGTCGTGTATCAGGATGTAGATGGGTAGTACGTGTAGTAAGTAGCACAGGCAGCAAATGTATGGGTTTATACATGAACATGCCTTTGTGTAATATTGACAGATCAAGCTCACGGCAGAAAACTGGTACATTGTTGGGTTGTTGGGTTTTTTTCAGTAGAGAACCAGAAGTAAGACTTCAGGTTTTCATCCTGTTAGGGATGCTGATTCATAGGGTCTTTGGGCAATTATATACCTATTAAAATCTGTATTTTGTTAATTGCCCTGCCAGCTTTTACTCTTCTTGAAATCAAGAGAGTAATTGTGTATACCTAACTCCTAGCACTACATATAGTAAGTGACTGAGGGTTGAGTTTACAGACTTAGTACTTACAGTCCAACAAGTTACTTTATTTGTCAGTGCATTTGGAAGTAGGGAAAACAGGTCAGCCACACCTGCTGCAGTTGTAGGCTGCCCGTAAAAGGGTGAAAAATAATGTAATAAGAATAATGGTTGTGTGGTTTTTTGCAGGGAAGCTCGGTCGCTTTCCACCGAGGATGCATTACCAGGCCACTCCCGACAGCCGACCTACCCCTCATTTTCCAAGGTCTCACCTTGCTGAAGCAGTTGCCAAAGCCAAGGCAGGTGGAAGCGGTGGTGGAAGCACTGGTGGAACTGGGAGAGGTCTTGTAGGGCAGATTATCCCTATATATGGATTTGGCATCTTCTTATATATCCTGTACATTTTATTTAAGGTAAGACCAACATAACTGGAAAGTCAGGGAAATAACAACTGAAAAACCCTCAAAACAGCAAAAAACCATTTCTGTACCTGGTTCCATTTCAGCCTAGCTCCAAAAAAAACCCACAAGTGTTCCTGCTGGGCCTTTGATTGATGGTTGAAAGATTGGTGTAACCTGTGGGTTTTGCTATTGTAAAGACTGTAACTGAGAATGTGGGGATGGGTTGGTGCAATCCTGTATTGGCCTCTGACCTCGTACAATTTTGTTAAGGATTTTGTTTCTTTCCCCCTGGAAATTGTGTATGTCTAGAACATTGTTAGATTAATTTTCAATACACACATAGTATTCTCTCTCTTTTAATGTGTGACTACATGTTATATATACTGTATATGTCATGTGTTGTGTTACATGCAATCTCCCAGATCTCGCAGGCATCTTTCATGGTTGCTGGTTTTGTTGCTGTGCATCCTTTTCTGCAGTTACCTTCTAGCATATTTTAATTTTCTATCCTTTTTCTGTTGCATTTGAGGCTTATATGTTGCTATTGCAGTAACTCATAGAAGGGTCATCTTTTTTTCACTCGTTAGCTGGCTTCCAAGGGGAAAACTACTGCTGGAGAGAGGAAATGCCCTACTGCTGCACCTGGAAACATGAAGAGGAAAATCAGTACGTATGATTTCTGAGTTACATCTGTGTAGCTGTTGACTGCGTAGAGGCACAGTCCAACTGTGTTCTTCAAGTTCTGGGCACAGTGTAAAGCTGTTGTTTTCTTCCATAAAGAACTACCCCGAAGCTCCTGTGTTGGAATGTGCAAGAGTTAAAGTGAATTACTGCACAGTCACTTTCTAATCTCATTCAGCTAATGAGACTCTGCAAAAGTAGACTGATCCCAACCCCCCCGTGGAAGCAATGGCTTCTCATGAGGTTCACTGAATTAACTGTACAGATTTGCTGAAAAGCTGTGTAGCTCATGATTAAAAACGGATAATAGGATGTCCATCTATAATTATTCTATAATCTGTGATATTCTAGTAATAGTATATAAAGACATTATTAAAAGCTAGCTTCATTTATTTGAATTTGTGAATTCTTACCCATCACCAGGCACTTCCCTACTTTCTCCCTTCCCCTTTTGCAATGCTCAAAGTTTTCATGAGTGCAATAATGAAACCAAATAGTATTCTGAAATATTATTTTGATTTTACCTAAACAACAATCAGTGGGGTAGATTCAAGTACTTGTAGACATTTATTAGATAAATTAATAAGCTTACTATTGAAGATTGGATGAGTAGTTACCATAACAGTATTTAAATTAGCTGGCTAAATTGTAGTAGGGAAGAAAAGTACTTAGGGCTTTATAGAAACTGCTACCAGTATGTAATTTTCTTTAACATGCTGTAATTACCTTGACATTAATGTGTATATTAGGAATACCTAATGTACTCAGCACTACAGATGGTGTTTTCAGTGCACTTGTTCTGCATTGTGCCTGGAAATCTTGTGCAATTTATTAGCAACAATAATTGTATTTTTTCCTCTAATGCTTGGTAAGAGAAACTAACTTTGCCATAAGTTAAACATTTGCCATCATTATAACCCAAAGAACTAGTGATGAAAATTATTCAGCCTTCTCCTAGAGCTCTTCGTTTGTATTCCTAAAGCGTTCATGGTAAGCTGTAGCAGAGCAGGAGACAAGTCACTGGACTAGGAACCTGAAGATGAGTGACCATTTACATAATGACTTCGAGGGAGTAACTTGATTTTTCTATGCCAATTTCCCTTCCCCTATTTTTAAAGGCTCAGACATGCAAAACAATTACATCAGTGATACATTAAGTAATGATGTTCTGTGTAGAATAGAGATCTTTCTAGAAGCAGGACATTTGTGGATGGCTTTCTCTATGCCTACTATGTTGGAGTTCTTTTGTGCCTTTGTGCTGCTTAAATGGATGTACCTGTAGCAGCTGAATATTAACTAGGCTAGGTTGGTTTCAGTTTGTTCTGCAGTGGGGAACAATGAAGTCTCAGCTATAGGATTTTGAGCATGAGCTACAACAGCCAAGCAAGGAGCTTAAGCTTTCTTGTTGATGTCCATGCTGTTGCATCTTTACTGTTACTGGTTTTGGCTACATTAAAGCCAGTATGGCTGTTCCTGCATGTCTGTGTGTGTGTCTGCTATTGTAGCATAGACACACTTTTTGTAAAGAGGTGCAACCATGGCCATACCATGCTTTGTTCCCCAGACAGACACCATGTGGCTAGCTGTTGTTCGTTCTGGTTAGCCTGGCAGACCGCTAGCACTCGCTGCCTGCCGTGGCACACCTATTCAGGGCTGGTTTGATGCCATCACACCCATGAAATTAATTCTCTTTGATAAATATGTGGTTTCTCAAACCTTGAGACTTCTTAAAAATGCTCAAGTGACCTTTTGTCTCTGTTCCCAAGGACTTAACACAGAAATTCTGTGAGAACTATTAATTCAGCTATAGACAATAAACCAGTATGGTTTCCTTAGGAGAAAAACTAAAATGTATTTTCCATTCCCTAAATTTAATGTCCAAGGCATTTACAGTGGCCCACTCATTCTATTGTGAGGTTGCTCGGGAGCCTTTGAAAGAAGGTGATTTCAGTGTGTCCTATTACCATCAGCAATAGACTTCACCTTCTTATACCAGGGAAACTATGTAGAACTCTTGAAGCTGCATGTTTTGGTTTCCTCACAACCAGTTTGGTTTGGTACAGCATGTGCTACCTGTGATAATGCGACAGGGATACATTTTCAAAGCTTCTACTGACAGATCTTGGGATTTTGTTTGGTTTACAGCTGACTATGAACTCACTCAACTCCAGGAAAAACTGAGGGAGACAGAAGAAGCTATGGAAAAATTAATCAACAGAGTAGGACCTAACTGTGAGAGGTATGTCTCAAATTACAGCATTTTAAAGAGAGATTCTGCTCTGATTAGAAATTAAACTTTCTTAGTTTTGCTATATTAAAATAGCATTTTATTATTACTTCAAATTGTAGGAATTTGACTTTACACATCACACTCGTTGTTCTTCAGTTTTTTATCTTTTCAGCATCTAGATTTAAAATAAATATTTTTTTCCAACTCCATTCTTCTTAACCAGAAAAGCAACTATGCCAATCCCCGCTTTGTACGGCGCGTTATCTGAAAGATGATGACGGGTATGTGTAAACAGAAAACAGAACATCTACATTTAAAGTATATAAAACAACCTGTCTTACGTGACCAAGATAATATTCTGAATAATTCCTAAGAGACCCATTTATTTTCTGGTTCTATGAATTATTTTTCTAAATAGAAATACTGTTACAATCTATGTAAATGCCTGTTAGAATAGCCATAAAATATTTCTTAAAGGACAGAATTGTATAATAATCTGATTCCATTACTTAGTTCCACCCTGTAACCAGTAAATCCATGCATTTGCTTCTAAACATAACAAAAAATAAGAGTTGTAAAATCAGGATTTAAAAATTTATGATGTTTATTATTTGTTATAAATCTGAGATCACTATTCTACGTTATAAAGAAACAAGTCTATTCTTCATAAGGAGTGTAACAACACATCAATAGGACAATGCTTAACTGCAGTGTTTGAAAATTTAAATACTATGAATATTAAGGTGATGTTTACAAGAAAAATAAATAGCTGTTCATTGGTTGTAATGCTGTTCATCAGTTGTAATGCATGTTAACTTTGGATCTGTCAATGCCTCGTTTAACCCGTTCTGTAGGAACAAATCTGTGCTGAACTTGCACATGATGTTCATTTATGCTTCAAACTGCATTGAGTGTGTAGTTCTGCCCACTTTGCACCATGCCCTGTGTTGTGGCTGCACTCATGCCAGGAAGATGAGGTGCCAGCCTTGCCTGTGTTATTCCAGGTTCCAGCAGGAGAACCCCTCAACTGCCCTGGCTTTGTCAGCAAAACAGAAGAATACTGTTTTGCCTATTACCCATCTCTGTTTTGGAGAGCTAACGCAATGCTCTGTGCTTACCTTTAAGCTGCCAGAAATAGGCTTATGAGCTGCCCAGATAACTGCGCTGACTCTCAGATAGGATATTTTTTACTGAGAAAATGGGTTTAGGGTCTGATCCAGTGTTTGTTCCACTCTGTCTTGTTGGCTCAGAGCCTCTATTTAGTGGAACTTCCCTTCTTTGTTCAACCAAACTATTTATAAAGATGGATCTAAAGGCCTCAGGGGAAATCGGAATCTGAACCTAATGAAAAATTTTTTATGCAGCCTCTTTAAAGAGAAGGGAAAAAGCACCTCTAGATGGAGGAAATAGCTGTTTTTAAAACACACCCAGACTTTGAAGCTTTCTTAATCTATCCTGTGACACTCGTTAAGTTCAGTAATACTGGATGAATGTCTTAAAATAAAACATATGGTTAAAAAGTGTAATTAGGGCACAGAGTATAGTGCTAGGCTTATTCAATCTGGATGTTGATAGATTTAAATGAAAAGGAAAGAGGAAGACAGCAAGAATGACTTGAGCCCCATTTATTAATACGCAGTTGAACATAAACCCTTACAACAGAAAAGGCAGAGGAAGAAATAAGTGGTATGAAATTTAAACTAGTGTTGAAAGAACCCAGGTGAGACCCTGGCCCATTATGCAAAGCGACTCCCAGCCTGCTAAATGAAGTGTTAGTAACCAAACCAAAGGATGTATTTTGCATTGTCACAAAAATGATGTATCACTGTAACACAGTGTTTGCAACAGCGCTGAGGTCTGAGCTCGTGCCTCTGTGTCCTCTCACTGTACTTCAGGAGTATTTTTCTCCCAGCTGAACTGCTCCAGGGTTCATCCTGGCTTTCTCCTTCTGGGGAGGATTTTTAGAATCCAAAAACATTCTAATTTTGAGTATTTTCTTAAAAAAACCCTTGCTTTTGAAATTGGGTAAGTTTGGAAGGACAGTTTATTCTTAGCTAATGCTGTACCATAGAAAGCTTTTTTCAAAGGAGTAGTGTATACTGTGCTGCGTGATTTTATTCTGCTTTCTTCTGCAGCAAGCGTATGTGCTGTTTTCTTGCTGTGGCGTGTCTTGCCCATTTCTTTTTCTGTCAAAAGCATTTGAGTGAATGAGGCTGGAAGACCTCTCAATACTGTTAGCAGGTTCTCTCAGATGGGATAGCTCATATTATCCAGCCCTGTGTTGTAGAAGGTAGGCAGGCAGAAACTTGGATTTGGTGGGGTTTTTTATGAGGCTTGAAGACCAACCTCCAAACCAACCAAGAAGACCTCCTTGCAAACCCGCATACTAACTGGGACTGCTGCAGCCTTAAGTACAGTTTGCAGAAATGCAAAACTTACTTTCAGAAAGTACAAGTACAGATTCTTTTAAACAGGCCTAGCGTATAGTAGCAAGGACTAGAAACAAGTTAAGGAAAGCAAGAGGAAGAAAGAACTACCTGGCCAGGTCCTCAGCAACATAACCAAATCTAAACTGAGACAAAGATAGTTGTTACCTAATGCACATATTTAAATGGGTAGTGCATGGTACCTAAGAATGTAATGATTCACAGCCCTGAGAAAATCTAGCACTCTACCCAGCCCTTTTTTAACAGGTTGTAAATTTAAATTGCACAGTTTTACAATTTATCATGTCCTATCACTAAGGGGACCTCAGTATCTCCAGTCTCTAAATGTAGGCCTTTATAGTCCAGTATCTCTCAGCAGAGATGAAAAGCTTTGCTGGAAATTTGGTGATTCAGAAATAAAGGCTTGATGATGGCTATAATAGGGCTCTCCGCATTAAAAGCATGCATACTACTTTTTTTTCCAGGCTTTTAGCAGTGTTTCGGTGTTGGAACACTGAATATATTGGCTACAAAAGTTTTCCCTACCCATTCTCATGGGTGTCTTACTCATATTCTTTTCACCACTGTTTGTAAAGTTTAGTATTTTGAAACCACTTTAAATTCAAAAATACTAGTAAATATTTTTCTCAATGGGAGTATTGTACAATGCTCTCCTGTAAAAAATTCCCAATTTCTGGTGATTAGGTAAGAGGTAGAAATAATCAGCTCTATTATCTGCTTTTAGGACCCTCTTTTCCAGGCTGTCGGTTGGAAAAAAATATCTTTTTACTATGAACTGAACAAATGTAATATGGAAGAAAGAGGGAGGCTGTAATCCATGGAGTGCCATTTTTGGACTATTGTTGCATTTTATTAGTGATTATTTTCAGGTCATGAATCAATAAACATACTGGTTGACACATCTGAGATACCATGTTAGATTATGGATTTTCACTGCAGTCGTGATAGCTCTTTAGGAAATGCTCTGATCTCAGCGTCAAGACTAAGAAACCTTTACCTGTTAGTGCATTGCCACTATGAAAAGTAAGAGCTGTGCTGGAGCTACAAGCACACAAAGGGAAAATAATGACCTTTTCTTACACTGTAAACATTTTGCATCTGTTGTCCTTTTAGTGTTCTTCAGTGCATTATAGCCTGGTAAATCCCCCATATGCAGGCAGCCAGATGTCTTATACATTGCCAGCATTCTACACTAACCTAGAGGCCTTAAATGAAGTAGAAATAGTGCATGGGCTTTGGTTTCTCCCTCTCTAAATGGAAATCTGTCCTTTAAGCAAGGTGTCTGAAGGAGGAATACTCTGAAATACGGAGCCCTTGTGTTACAGGAAGACAGTAGTGCTTTCTAATGGGACTATCCAGCATGTTAGAAATTTTCCCATACGGAATACCACAGTGATGCAGCTGCACTGATTGATCCTGTTATCTGAGCTGGCGTATCTCCCCACTGTGTTAAACAGATAGACCTGTCTTCATCCAGGTGATATATATTCAAATTACATACACTTTTGTCTGTAAGAGGAGGATTAGTTTGGCAGTTCTATTACATCTTCTGTCAAAGGCAGCTAGCTGATGAAACCATTTCTTTTTGTGTGTCTCAATTCACATGTCAAATTCTACACCTGCCTAAGCCAGGCTTCTGAGAAGATGCTGTGTCACACCTTCACTTGTTCTGTGGAACAAACTGCCACCACAGCTTGAGGAGAATCAGTGCAACCTCCATATAACGTTGGGAGTATATCAGCCTTTCATTTGGGGCAGCATGCCTCTCAGGAAGCACAGAGAAGTGATGTTTAGCTTTGTGATCTCAAACAAACAGTTCAATCTGGGTAGCTGCTAATGGAACCAGTGGGCCTGCTCTTAAAGTTAAGTTACAGGCAACTGTGAGTGCATCTGTGCACAAAATCTAGCCCAGGGCCAGCACTGTGATCACCATCACACGGATCAGCAGTACGATGCTAATCTCTTCGGCTTTAAACCAATATGACTCCTGTAGTGGAGTTACTATCATGTCACGACCATTGCTGGATGTGCAGGATACCACAAAGTACCTCTTGAAAGCGCTACTCTAGTCACAACAGTTAGTAAGAGGAAGAACTGAAGATGGATGCCACAAGTTTTCAAGGTTGTGAGAATTCAGGTACCTGAAACAAGGTTAAGGTAGATGCTAATCACCTAAATCCAAAATCATTAATCTATGTCCAGGTCCCCTCTTCCCATCTCACCCCTAAGATTCCCTGAGCAGCTGTCTATCTTGGAGATTATCCGCCTGATGGTCTGTACTCACCAGAGGTCATTGCTCTGACCTCACCGCCTGTAGTTCCTCATTCTGCGCATCCCAAGGGCCACCCTCCCTGAGTAACTAGGGGCAATGGATCCTGCCTGAAACACATGAGGATTCAAAAGAAGCACCAGAGCAGTGCCCCAGCCCCCTGAGAGGCTCCAAGTAGCACTTACGCAGAGGTCAAACACCTGCTCAAGAGCAATTGAAACTCAAGATGAAACAAGCACCATTTTCACCCCTAAGTACACCCAGTGCCTTTCTTATTCTGACCTACTGAGTTAGTCAGTAGATCACCACCCTCAGATCACCACCCTCCAAATACTTTTTTGTCCATAATATTTTTAGGAGACTATTTTTTTTTCCCTAAGAAAATAACATGTAATAACTACATGATCTTATCTGTTGGAAGCATTTTTGTTACAACAGTAATTGTATTATCTGTGCAGCAGTAATTACCAGAATCAATGGTGTAGGACCAGTCAAAATTATAGTTTGCTTTTAATTGGATAAAAATCTCAGTCCTCTCCCACTCTCCATCTGATTCTAAAGGGCAAGTTAAAGTTAAATGTAACACCTTCTTTTCATTTTTAAATCTTCCTTCTTCTCACCCCACCTCCCCAGCAGGCAGCATTGCTGACATGATGATCTGTCCAACTGCCATTTTTTAATGAAGCCTAGCAAATGTGATACATTTCCTGGTCATAATTAGGTATCAATAGACTCTTGAGACTAATGTCTGTGTGAGACATTTTGATCGGCCTTATAACCTGTTTTAAATGTAGCATACATTTTGAATTGCATTTTCTTATAATGCTTTCAACAAGGCATGCCCCCCCTAATTCTCACCTCTTTTAAAGGCCAGAAATTTCTGTAGTATCTTTTGTATCATAACTCTTCCCTGTGTGTCACTCACTTTGCTCTCACACTGGCTGTTCCTGCCTTCCTTCACCTGTTTAAGTTTGTAGGTTTTCTGGATAAATGGATAAAATTTACACAAGCAGAAGTGCAGACAACATGCAGATGTTGAACAGTGGTTATACTGCAGCCCGGTTTCTTCAGCCTGTGCTGCTGGGACAGACCAAACAGTTGGGTTCAAACTGCGTTAATAGTTTGTACTAATAGTGGACTGAATTCTGGTGTCTAATATTTTCTGGCAGGTCTCAAAATGTTACAACAGACCAGGAGAAAAGGTTACTTCAGCAGCTCCGAGAAATTACTAGAGTTATGAAAGAAGGAAAATTCATAGATGGCAACTCGCCCGAGAAGGAAGCTGAAGAAGCTCCTTACATGGAGGATTGGGAAGGTAAGCAAGGGCCTTTCTTACCCTGACAAGAAAAACCGAATTAGGATTACTTACAGTCTCAGATCCTTTCAACATTTTTAACTTTATCCTTCCTTTCAGAAGTCAGTGTTCTAAACTTTGCAAGAGGTGGTTAGTTTTCCCAACCACAATAGAAAGAAAATGCATTTTGGGGTATTCAGCATTTCCTGTAGTGTAATCACTATGCTATCTGTTGCCAAAGTGGCATATGAATATTCACATACACTCCATCTGCTTCAGGGTCTTGGCTGCTGGAGGTTTGTATCTTTCCCTTTCTTTGCTGGGCTAGATTTCATGCAAAATCACAAACCCCTTGGAAATCAGAATCAGTATGTTTTGGATAACTTACAGTTTTTACTTTTGGTTAGTAATTGTTTGCTGCAATGTTGTAAAAGTGAACTCCAGGAAGTCTATCTTTCAAAAACTCTGTATTTTCATGTTCTTTCCCCTCCTTGGTGTTTACTTCTTACATAAATGTGTTTTCGAGATATCCTAGTTGAGCTGCTATCATAATTTTAAATGCAGACTTAATTCCTTGTTCTTCAAGAAGCTTTCAAAAAGGATCCAAAACATAAACAATGGCCTCGAGCTCTGTTTTCTTAAGTTCATGATGCATTTTCTAAAATGAAATGCACAAAATAATTCCCATATCTGTTTTTTCAACTTTATAAATGATGCTGTTTATAGCAAAAGTCTTCAAAACATGAATCAATCTGTAAACAGAAACAAACAAAAAAATTTGATCTATTTAAAGATTTAAATTATCCAGTTTTTCCTGATAGCTCCCATAGCTTTCAGCAAAACTCAGATACTCACTCCTGAAAGTTAGGGTTGATATCCTGGCTCCCTAAAAGTAAGTGGAGTTGTCTCATCATTTCCCAGTAACTCATGTTTTGAACATTCTTGCTATGGATTTAATACTGTGAGGTACACGTGTCATTAAATAGATGAGACTTACACTGACAGTGCTAAAATCAACTGTTCTAACAAACTTCTGTATCTGTCACTGAAGTGAGTACTACTTTTAAATGCTGGTAAGACTTCAAGCTGCATATCACTTTATTAATCCTTAGGTTATCCGGAAGAGACCTACCCTGTCTATGATAATTCTGACTGCTTCAAGAGGAAACAGGACACAATCCTGGTAGATTACCCTGACCTGAGCCAGCCCTCCGCAGAAGAGCTGGCAGAGAGAATGGAGGGCATGGAAGATGAGGAGCTTCTGTGCAATGAAACCCTGCTATCTGATCTCATCATGGGAATGGGCAGTCATGCTTTAATGCAGAAAAAGGACGAGGTAACTGGCATCAGTGAAGAGGAGAGGGACCTTCATCACAGCCAAAGCACTGAGGAGTGCTGCTGTTGTTACGAGGATGACGATCCTGCTGTCATAGCAGAGAATGCTGGATTTCACTCTGAGAGCTGCAGCGAAGCAGAAGAGTCAACCCAAGAGGATCTGTCTGTGGAATCAGAAAATGAAAATGCAGCACTGAAAAAGCAAAAAGCCAGTGATTCAGACGAAACAGGCACACTGAGAAAGCGCAACACGAAAGGACTTGAGTAACAGGGACCATGGCCGATGTTCTGTAGATGGTCACAAACTGTTACTCATGTATTTTTTGCTCCCAGTGAAAATTTGTGTTCATCTCATTGTAACAATTTCATTCCCATGGTAGCAACCACTAACATCATCTACCTGAAGTGGAAGCCAATGCCCTCTTTCATGCAGCCTTGTTATGGCTTATTACTGCCTTGCCAGCAGCTCTTTGTCCTTGCTTTTTGGAGGCTGGTATCTCGGAGCAGGTTATTTGGGTCAGGTATTCGTGATTCTTTCCAATTCTGAAGAAACAGACCTTGGTTTTGCGCTTTGTCATCCCAGAGTTCACCAAATGTCTCTTCTGACTTTCCCCAAAACATCTATTTGTGTGCTACCAGTTATGAAAATTAATTAAATCCATATATATTTGAGATTACCAGGAAGCTGGAGGAGAAAGTATGCCTTCTTTCTCTTACCTGGATGCTAACTGGTCAGCAGAACAGACCATAGTCACACACGTGACTTTCTCAACTGTGTCATTGCTCCTGTACGCCCAAGAAACTGTTGTCCACAAGATTCATACGCTGCCCCAACCCACAGCCCATTTCTCAGCTTATTCCTTGCTGCAGGAGCAGTAGCCTAATCTGTGTATTCCATGAGCAAGACTGAAGCATTATGAGTTGTTCTTTGTGTTTGCCTGTAGCTCTGGCGAAACATCTTGTGGATGCAACTCCCAGATGAGCGCAGGAATCGCACCATACTTTGTGCTAGAGAAGAACACTAAAAATATCCCTGGGGTTTAAAAGAACAAAAGGCAGCGAGAAGGTCTGAACTTGAAAGAAGAGAAGAGAATAAGGGTGAACCTCAGACCAAAAAGAAACCCCGCCACCTCCAGGCCCCAGGGACCTCCCTCAGTGTCCTCCGACAGCCTCCTTGCGTGGCGCTGACACAACGGCCCAAAGGATGTTGCCAAAGGGACCTCTCCCCTTGTCTCACTCCGGGCTCTGTGCAGAGGACATGGCACCTCCCCGTGCTCCAGGGGCAGGGGCAGGAAGATGGGGAAGAAGGGCTCACACAACGCTTGGCCATCAGCAACTCTTCTATGGAGTGCTGGGAGACCTTGCGCAGGCTGCAGTGCCTCCCTTTCCCACCAGTGGGATCACTGACTTTTGGTTTGAATTCGTATTAGCTTTAAAGTACAGTATAAACAGCACTGGAAACTCCTTGTGTTAAATAACCTCCATACTTTATGTAGGTAATTTGTCACGGTGTTTCTGACCTTTGGTAGGGAAA